TGGGGGCGATATGCTGACTCTCTGTAAACCGCTTAGAGAGGCCTGAAAGGCCTATGAAGCGGTATATAAGTCTACTGCTATTGCTATATTGCTATTGCTGTCTTTTCAATAAATAAAAAAGAGAGAGAGATCCTACTGACATCAAGGCAGCTTAATAGAATGTTGGAGTCATTCTTCTCAACTATGAGATCACTGTTAAAACAAGTGAGGAACTTCTAGATATCTCTGTGTGGTGCTGGAAGCAGCAAACAGGCAGCATGCAAAACTTTTCCCTTCCTAAGAAAATCCCCAAAGACAAAGTTGACTTCCAGGTAAACCCCCGCGCGGATGCCGTTCGCTCTAAGCTGATCTATACGTTTTACCTGATCGATCACTTTGAGGGGCTGAGCCATGCGGTGCCACGGTATAACATACAAGACTTTGTGGACGCCAAGAAGCGAAAGAAAATGATGCTCATGGATCACCACCAGCTGGTTCGCTTCCACGTCGTGCCCACCCGGAATATCATGGTGACTCAAGAGAATCGCTGGCGCAACCGTATCGAAGTGCGTTGCAGCCGTTGGCCCCCGTACAAGATGTGGGTGTCTTCAGTCCTCAACAGCCCAACGTTCAAGGGCTTTATCATCTTTCTTATCTTCATGAACATGGTAGTCCTCATGGTCTCGACGGAGATAATGGGGCTAAGGGGAATCACCTACGTGAAAATTACCAATGCTCTGGAGGTGATCCTTTGGGTCATTTTAGATATCTTTCTGATAGAGATTGGGTTGCATTGGTTTGTGAGCTTTCAGAGATACTGGAAAAATTCCTGGAATATCTTTGATTTCATAGTGACCGTGGTCTCCCTTATACCAGAAATAATAGTCCCAATTCAGAAGAGTCGCAGTATGGCAACTCTCCAAATTCTGCAGTTATGCCGTGTACTGCGTTGCCTAAAACTCTTTCCTAGAGTCCGTCAAGTCCGGGTTCTCATCATGGCTATTGCCAAAGCCCTCAAAGCAATGGCCTTCATTTTGGTTCTCCTTGCCTTCCTCTTCTACGTCTTTGCTGTGTCGGGCATCTTCTTTTTTGAGAGTTACACCAATTCAGACGACATGGATCTGACTTACAACATGTATTTCATGGACATGCCCAACGCTCTAGTAACCATCTTCATTCTCTTCACCATGGACCACTGGTACGCCCTCTTACAAGATTTGTGGAAAGTCCCAGATATAAACAAAGTGATCAGTGGTATATTCATCTGCTTGTGGCTTCTGATCGGGGCATTTATTTTTAGGAATCTCTTCGTTGCCATTATGGTCACCAATTTCCAGAACATCCGAAGTGACCTAAGTGAAGAGGTGAGACAGATCGAGACTCAGACGCAAGCTGACAAATTCAAAATGGAGATCATGGAGAAGAGATTCAGCCAGATCCGATCAGCTATGGACAGAGACATTACGTTCAGAGAAAGGTTCACCATGGATCCCGCATTAATTCAAAATGCAGACTATCCAGATACCACGCACGATGAAATGCCTCCTGGAATTTTGGACTGGGAGACTTACATCCACAAGAACCTGCCAGGACTCTATGCTGCTGACGAAGATGAACAAGTGCTTTGGCCACGTGACTCCCTCTTCTGCTACTTTGAGTTGTTGGAGAAGCTGCAGTATAATTTAGAGGAACGCAAGCAACTTCAGCAATACATGGTGTTGGCTCTTTCCAACCTTGAGGACAAGTAGAACAAACCATGCAAGCTTTGGGAGAGAAACAGGACAGATGAAAAGCCAAAACAAATGAAAATAGTGGTTTCGTACCAGCCTCTCCCCTTCCCTCCTCCATCCAAAGGTCTCCAGATAAGACACAAGTATACTATTAAAATATATTGTATATCATCATTTTGTTGTTGTTGGTTGTTAGTTGCAAAGTCATGTCCGACCCATCGCGACCCCATGGACAACGTTCCTCCAGGCCAGTGGTGGGTTGCTAATCCCATTCCAACTGGTACGGTTGGAACGGGGCTGGCGGTGTCCTCGTGCATGCGCGCAGTTCACGCATGCGTCTTAGCACCTGCGCGATGCTCCAGCTGCTTGCAGAGAATTGCGCAGGCACTGTATGTGCCATGCACCTGCGTGGAAACGCAGAACCCTTTAAAGACCAGTAAAGAGCGAGGGCGGGCGGGTGAGCCCTTCGGCATTCCTGGAAGTTACTTACTTCCGGGTTCACCGACCAACCAGTCCGTGCGGACCGCTATGGACCGGTTGAAACCCACCCCTGCTCCAGGCCTTCCTGCCCTCTACTATCCTCTGGAGTCCATTCAAGCCCACTCCTGCTGCTTCGGTGACTCCAACAGCCACCTCATTCTCTGTCGTCCTCCTCTTCTTCTTTTGCCCTCAATCTTTCCCATCATCAGGCTCTTCTCCAGGGAGTCCTTCTTCCTTCTCATTAGGTGGCCAAAGTATTTGAGTTTCCTCTTCAGCTGGCCTTCTAAAGAGCAATCGGGGTTGATTTCCTCTAGGACTGACCGGTTGGATGGCATTGCAATCCAAGGAACTCGCAGGAGTCTTCTCCAGCACCATAGTTCAAAGGCTCCATTCTTTAGTGCTCAGCCTTCCTCATGGTCCAGCTTTCACAGCCATCCATTGCAAGAGCCAAGGTGGCGCAGTGATTAGAGTGCAGTACTGCAGCCACTTCAGCTGACTGCTAGTTGCAGTAGTTGAGTAGTTTGGAGAACCGGTAAATACCACCTCTGACTCACCACGCCCCGATGTATTCTCTGCCTCCTGAGGAGGATGCCATGCCCATAGAACCGGTAGTAAACATTTTTGAATCTCACCACTGGTGTGAACTGTAACATGACAGTGTGTAGGAGATGTGAGGAGGGTTAGAGAGGAGTTGTGGGTATGTGTGCACATTGTGTATGTCAGCCAATATTCACACATACCCACAATGCCTCTCCAACCAGATCTATATCCTTTCTCATGTTCTGCTCTGCATTCCCGCGTTCCTTGTCAGGTAGATTCCCCGTAGCAGGAATCTTTTCCCCAGATTAATACCTTCCCCTTTATCTTATGGTCCAGAAAGGCAAGGAAAGTGTTAAGCTACAAAAATTGAAACAGAAACTTACGCAGTCTGCTGCTCTGAAAAGTAAACTAGCAAGTTTGAAGCAAATTGAACGTCATGACTTCTATGAGTCTTTCACTACTCAGTTAAACATATTGTCATAATGCAGAGATGATGCCTATAGGAAGAACAGTAGTACCTGCTGCAGAGGTGGGTTCCTACCAGTTCGCACCAGTTCGGTAGAACCGGTTCGTCAAATCTACNCCCTAAACCTAACCCTAAACCTAACCCTAAACCTAACCCTAAACCTAACCCTAAACCAAGGTGGCGCAGTGGTTAAATGCAGCACTGCAGGCTACTGCTAGATCAGCAGTTCAGCGGTTCAAATCTCACCGGCTCAGGGTTGACTCAGCCTTCCATCCTTCCGAGGTGGGTAAATTGTTGGGAGCCAGAGGCAGATTTCTTTTTTCCCTTGTTTTCCTCCCCAAAAGCTTGGTGGGTCTTATACTCCAGAGCATCTTATACTCCAGAAAATACAGTAGTTGTTTGCTTGCTTGCTTGTTTGTTTGTTTTAGACCTTTATATAGATAGTCCTCGACTTACAACAGTTCACCTAGTGACCGAAGTTACAATAGCACTGAAAGAAGGGACTTATGACCGCTTTTCACAGATACGACTTCTATAGCATCCTTCTAGTCATGTGATCAAAATTCAGATGTTTGGTGACCAGTTCATATTTATGACAGTCGCAGTGTCCCGAGGACCTGTGATCCCCTTTTGCGACCTTCTGACAAGCCAAGTCAACGGGGGAAGCCAGATTCACTTAACAACAGTGTTACCAACTTCAATCCAGTGTTCCACTTAACAACTGTGGCAAGACAGGTCATAAAATGAGGCCGAACTCATGTAACAACTTTGTGAAGGGCTACCTGTATTTGCAAAGACAGCAAGAGTAGAAATTTTCTCCAGTTAGTTGCTGACAAATTTCGGACAGACGGACGGAGGCATATTGGAATTCCCAAGTATTTCACCAATATTGTTCCAGAATATGACAATATAGCAAAGGAAGGCCAATCAATATCATCCATCTCTCTTTCCATTCTAAGAAGAGAAGAAATTGGATTTTATACATAGGATGCACTGCTTCAGGGAGATAGCTAAAAGCACAACCCTCTTGAACAAAGACAGGCAAAAAAACAAAACCCCTGGGAGCATGTTTACTAAAGACGAAAAATGGAGACATTTTAAGATGTACAAAGGCTGATAGAAGTATAGATAGGAGCACATGGTCTGATGCAAGGAATGAATGAATATCAAAGAAGTGAAAATGGTTGTATACAATGGTGGTATTCAGCCGGTTCGGACTGGTTTGGGCAAACGGGTAATGCCAACCTGTGACTAACCAAGGAGAGAACCAACCTGAAAATAAGGAGTAACATCCTGGCAGTGAGGACAATTTGGACAAGTGGAACACCTTGCCTTCAGAAGTTGTGGGTGCTTCATAACTCTAGGCTTGTAAGGACAGATTGGATATCCATTTGTCTGAAGAACGGTTGCAGGAACTGGGTAGGTCTAGTTGAATGAAAAGAAGGACCAGGGGAGACAGGATAGCAGTCTTCCGATATCTCAGGGGTTGCCCCAAAGAAGACAGGAGTCAAGCTATTCTCCAAGGCACCTGAGGGTGGAACAAGAAGCAATGGGTGGAAACTAATCAAGAAGAGAAGCAATTTAGAGGAGAAATTTCCTGACAGTGA